TATAAAATTTATATAGTATGAATTATTTGTGTAATATTGATTTTAAGAAAAATTTTCCAATTTTAAGAGCTATTAGGTTATTTAGAAGCGATTTGTTGATTGTAGTATATTTGTAGAAGCTAATTGGATATTTAGGAAAATTTAATGGGTACCAGAAAAGTGAAATTTTCTGGTACACCCCTGCAGGTTTTTCTAAAATGCCAATGAAAAATTCTGTAAAGTTAGGTTTTAGTTTTCACCTTTTTGTTTGTATTTTGGTGAGTTTTGGTTTGTTTAAAATAAATTATATATCAAAATGACTGGCTTGAGGTGCTTGATATTTTTCTACTAAGGTTAAGATATATTAGCTTAGTAAAATATGTAGTAAATGAGCAAAAACAAAAATTTTGGTTTTTGGAACTTTTCTTAGTAGCCAAGTGTTTTTGGAACTTGAAACTTGGTCACCTAGATGGTGAAAAGTGAGCTCAACAACTTTACTTAAGAGTACAAATAAGGTTTATTTAGTAAAAGTTTGAGAAATAATTAAATGTTTTTAGCAAAATTTGGTACAAGTGATCTATGAAAAGAGTTACAGAATTGGTCTTTCTTGTTCAAATAAATTAAAAACATAAAACAAGTTTTTATATATTATTAGATTCAAAAAACTGTAATTTGATTATTTTATAATTTAAATTTTTATATAATATATAATAAGTAACCTTTATGAAAAAAAAAGATTAGATTTGACTAATAGGTAATTAAGGTTTTTGGTTATTTTAAATCAATGAAAATAAGCAAAATAAGTTATTTAATAAAGAATTTAAATAAACAATAGTGATTATGAAGATTTATAAGCTTTATAACAATAATAGTATTAGTATTTATTATATACAATATAATATATTAGGAATTATTATTTATAAAACAAATAAAATATGCTGTATCTAAGGGTCATTTTAGTTTTTATTTATAATACTAAATTTATTACTTACAAATATAACTTTATACTTATTATTTATTAAAACTAATTAAATCTATTTATATATATTTATTTTATTTTTTTATTTTTTTTTTTATTTTTTATCTATTTCTTTAAATCTAAAATATCATTTTTATTATAAATATAACTTATTACACTTATTACACTTATTGCATTTATGTATTTTTTATGTAATTAATTATGATATTCTGGTTTTATAATATTAAATGTAAACATTAATTTAGTGAAATACTATTTTTATAACTAAATACTTGAGTTGCTTAAAGAGAGTTATAAATAATTGTAGTGTATTGATTACATTAGCATATTAAGTATCAAATTTAATTTAATTTAATACAGTTTTTCTTATATACTTTTAAATAAACATTTATTTATATTAATATATCTTGAAAAAATATAATTGTATACTAAATTAAAGCTAATTAATTATTATTATTGTAATTATAATATACAAATTAATAAATATATTATTAAATATAATTATAATTGTAATAAAAAACTCTTTCTGATGATTATCTGAACCAAACTTTTTAAAAAGCTGAATTACAGAAAATAATATAGTTAATATATTAAACTTTATGAAAACCTTTCTGAAGTATTGTATATGTATTGTTGGACATTGAAATAGAGTTGAAAAAAAGTCAAAGCCTTGTGGTGATGGTTTAAAGAGCACTCAAAAACTATAAAAAAAATAGTTAGTGAAAGTCAAGATTTCTTATTAAGTGAACAATAAAGTTGGATATATTAGTTGTATATAACTATAAAATCTACAAGGAACACCCACAAAGGTTAAGAACTTATAAAAACTAAAAGTTGGTTCACCTAGAACTCTTACTTTTTCTTTAAAGAAAATTTTATAAAAAGTAGGTAATTTAGTTTACTTCCTTCTAAAGATCGATATGTAAAATTATCTAAACAGTCAACAGTATTTACTTTCTAATTAGAATTGTTTACAATGTGGATTGGAAATAATACAGCAATACAAATATGACTATACACATATTTCAAGCTGCTGAAAATCTATCAAACATTGCCTCCAAACTAACCAGAATCCTATACTAACCCTCTACAATAAAGTCGAAAATTTTTTCATCTTTTTGGTTTTTTGTTTAAATAATTTAAGTAAATAAAAAGATAATAGAATAATTTTTATCTAGTATAGTTTATAATTTTTACAAACCCAACATAGGCTTATAATTGTAATTGTCAGATATCTGTGAATTACAAGTTTTATACCTGACACAGGTTTAAAATTGTGACTATCTGATTTTTTGTAAATTTTAAGTTTTACACTTTTTTTTTTTGTTTTCTCCTTTTTTCTTTTTATTTCTTGTTTTGTATCTTTTATTATTTACCTCTATACTTCTGTTTTTTTATATATAAATCTTTTTTTGTTTTTTTGCTTTTCTACAAGAAGACATTATCAGATTGATAGAATCCTATTGTAGAGTGACAGTTAGATGAGCAGTCTACTTCTGTTTGAGGTAGTATAACAGGTTGCACTTAGGTACCAATAAGGTGATCAGGTAATGCTGAACTTAAGTATTAGAAAAATTCTTTGTAATTTGTATAGTATTAAGAATTCTAATAAAGCACTAATATGACTGCTTAAGTTAAAAAAAATAAAAAATAAAAAATCATAATTATAATTGTTTTAATATTATTGTTATAAGCATTTATAATTTATTAATTAATAATTTGTTATTTACTATAATAATTGATTTTATCTCTTATTTTGATAGATATAGTCAGTAATTTTAAAATTATTTATTACATTATAAATAATTAATTAGTTAAAATCAGTCACTTAAAAATTGATTTGAAAATATTTTTTTATATAAAAATTATTTATTATGATAAAACTAATTTAAAATATTACTGTTACTAGATTCAAGTATTTAGTCAACTTCTAATTTAAATTTTAGTTATTAAATTATATATTAATAAATTAAAATTTATTATAATATTAATTTTTCAGATTATTTTTATTAAAGATTATTATTTAATTGAAGATATTATAAGTTATAAAAGTTTTATAAAATAAAAAGTATCATAAGATAGTTATAGGTTTTTTATTATAGCAGTAGTTGCATAAATTTACAAAAAGAGATAGGTTAACTTGGCATTAACATTATACAAAAAATTGAATAAAAAAAGAAATTTAAAGGTAGAAGGCAGTATTTTAAAATTATATAAATCTAATGATAAATTTTTTTTATATTTAATTTTATAAAAAATTATATTAAATAAACTAATTTTAATTATTAAATAAAATTATAGAGTAGATCTTTCTAATTTTAATAATAGTAAAATTTATTAAAATAGGTTAAAAATTCATTGAAATATGAATTTTTAAAGATTAGAATATAAAATTATAGAATAAAATTAACTAATAGATTTACATAAATTAATCAACTAAATTCTTCATTTTTGTATTATCTAAGGAAATTTTAACTTATCTAAGTAAACTTTATTATATATACAAGTATATTTTTCTAAAATAAAACAATACATCAAAATTTTACTATAATAAATAAATAATTTTATTTATAATATTATAAATTTTTTTATTAATTAATTAAAAAATAAAAAAAATCTTATTAGTAGCATATATTAATTTTAAATGAAAATTTTAATATACTATACATAACTATATAAAAATGATCTATGTGCCTCCTACTGATAAAGAACAGATTCGACATTCAAAAAAAAAAAAGAACCAAATAAGAGAAAGGAATGAAATTATATACATGTATATATCTTCTAACAATTTTCTTTTTTCTCTCATAATGTATTTTCATTAAATTAATAAATAGATCTAAACAAGAATAATGACCTAACATATGACAATAGTCATGCTAAGATTATTATCATGAGGATCACCTCTGGACTAATTCGTAATGGATATATAACATGAATTGGTTACTTAAGGTTTAATTGTGAAAATTAGAATCAGTAATGCTTTTTTCCTTCACTGTCTGACTCTGTTCTAGCTCTTTAATGCTGTGACCCCTCCCAACCTTTCCCAAAAAAAAAAGAAAAGAAAAAAGAAGAAGGAATGAACAAAATGAAATAAAAAACAAAATGAAATGAAATTAAAGAATGAAGGGAAAGCAAATAATAAATGGAAGATATTTTCATGCTGTAGACCTCTGGCCCCCTCCAAAAAAAGAGAAATATTTGAGGATAAATAATGATAGTTGTAATTGAAGTGAGCTGCTTGAGGACATGCTTACTAACTTGGAGGGCCTTGCTTGGTAACTTGTTCCCCGACTCTCGATGCAAAAAAAAAATCGGTTTATTATTATTTTTAATGCGCTACACCTTAGCCTGAGCCATCTCCCAAATTGCACATGCCCGATCCTCGTTAAAGTTTCATCACGTGACCGTTATACACCGTTATCAAATGTAATCTATTATCATGTAATATGTTTAGCGCCTATGAAGAGCTAGAGCCGCAGCTGGCACTACTCCCATAGTGTATTTTCATCGAATGAATAAATAGATCCGAGTGAGAATAAAGGTGTGTCCGAAATTGATGGTAAATTTTCGCTTGGTGTGATGTCGGCTGAATGAGAAATGATTGTCACACAGACCCACCTGATTACAATAATAGCCAATTAAATTTAAATAATAATAAAATATTTTTAGGGCGATAGCACGAAAAGTATCTTCTAGTTAGGCCTTCATAGCCTTTATTTTAAAATAAATAATAATAACCAAATATAATTTTACTATAATAAAATACCGTAAATGCCATTTATCGTACATGTCACCATGATCAAGAATCACTTTGCGCTGTAACATAAAGGTGAATCCAGTTCATAATACATATTATGATAATAATCATTAAAAAACATCACTAACTTTTCTAATAATTTTTTTTAAACACAATAATAATGTGCTTAGGACTGTAGTTGTTGATTAAGAAGAGTTTACACTGTTTTGTAAAGTAAAGTATATAATTATTATAATATGCTCTATCATTAATGAGACAGATTATACTACACATTGTTCTAAATTAATTTGATCCATCTACGGAAAAGCAATGTTCACTTTGAGTCGTCGGATCGTTACCCCACCAAATTGGAAATTGTACCTGAAAGATAAAATGTAGTAAGTCATGCATATAAAATTTTTTTGAAAATTATACATGAGACTAGTAGAAATATTAAATAAATAAGTTACCCGCACAATACCAGAAAGACAAATAAAAGATACTATTGCCATAATCTGTGCACCACTATCAAATGCTGCAGACATTATGTAATTATACCTATCATGTATAATAAATGAATGTGCATTATTTTTAAATTATTGATTATAAAAAAAAGAAAATAACTTACTTCATCCACCACCTATAAATAATCAAATAAAATTTAACTTATAATTTATCTGTTTATCATAATAAATAGATTAAGCCATATATTTACTCTTTTTTATAGCGAAGTAAATAAAATTGACTTATAAAGCTAGCGATGAAGCCAGTGATTAAAAAATTTGAATAAGATGCGGCAAAACTAGATAGACAAAGTATTATTAGAGGCATATTCACAAGATTAAATTTTGCCTTGGGAAATTTTAAATGAAGCAAATAAAATGGTATTGGCAAAAAGCCACCAATTAGGAAGCCCCAAAGAAGTATACTATAAATTGAACCGGGCTACCGAAATAAAAGAGCATTAGATTTATGTACTATTCATTGCTTTAATAAAAAAGTAATGTGTTACTTATTTGATTTAACATACCCGAAAGTCCTTGCCGGTCCAATCAATCCCCATAATAGATGCAGTATCAAACATTTTTGTATTAAAGCCAGCCCACTACATGTGCAAGTCTTAGAGAACATTCTTTAAAAAAAAATTTTTTTTCAAAAAATCAGGTATTACTTACTTGACCAGTTGGATCAACTTCTGTACCATCAATGTAAGGTCTTTTCGCATTAATTATAATATTCAACGTCCAATAGTTTACGACTACGCCAACAACTGTACCCCATATTTGTGATATGAACATGCTTCTTGGAGGAATTTTCATATAATGACCTTAATGTTGAAAAAAATTTAACAATAATATTTAGATAACCTTGGTAGCAATAAGGTTTTTTTAATAGCCATACCCAATTTTAGGTCTTGAACAAAACAAACATTGAGATAAAACCACAGTTCCATAAGTTTTAAAATATACGTTTGCAATAGGATAACCAGGTAAAAGAAAACCGCAAATTAATTCAGCTATAATATTTAGACCAATTTGCATATTTGAGGTTGCTTGAATAATGCCTATCAATAGTTGAGAATAATGAGATTATTTTAAACAAGATTATTTGAATAAGAGTTATAAATATTATACCAATTGGGAGTACTATAAGCACAGGAATAGCAACAGCCAACAATACACACCACCAAGGTAAATTCGCGCCGGTTGTATAGCCGAGGGTAATTGCGATTACTAACATGATAAAGAAAATGGAACCATACCAATAATGTGGCACTTCTATTATGATTAATATAAGAATTGGTAATATAACTCATATTACATTTTTTTTAAACTCAATTTTTTTAAAAAATAAACGAATAAAATAGAAAAATTATATTAATAAAACCTGGATAAACATCCATCATTTTGCAGTGGATTTCAGTTTCCTCCTCTTCACGAGTTTTCTTGTATCGATTCCAAATTTCCTTCCCGTGAAATAGTATCACATGACTAATTGTAGCGGGAATTTGCATGAAATTAAAGCCATAGCAAGTAGCAAGCATACTAGTACTATACACAGAACTATAATTTTCGTATGCAGTAACATTGAGTGCACCAGTTATTGGATCAATGACGCTTGTCTGGTTATATCTATAAATACAATAAAAGTATTATCCATAGTTTAATAAAGCTTATTATAATTTAACATATTTAAAGATCAATACTTACATATTTCCATATTTATCGAATGAACCAAGAGATATTGTGAGACCCGAAAACGTGACCGGTGCACGTGACGAAGATCCCGAATGTCAGAAATGTCAGGTATGTCAGATATATCGAATATGTCTGATATATCTGATATATCTGTTATATCGCATAAGTGTGATATATTAAATAAATGCGATATATATGATAAATTAGATATATACGATATATTAGATATGTTTGACATAGTAGACAATCTCATAATGTAAATAGACAAGAACGTTTATTATAAATAAAGGGCAATTCGCCCAGGCCAAAAGGCCAGTGATTACAATTACGAAATATAAACTAACTACCCGACCCATAGTACAAGTGAAAGTATTGCCTTATAAACCCAGTTACTATCGTAAATCCCATTATTAACAATACCCGTTCACCCCAACAATAAACTAAACCCGTAATTGATCGCTCGCCTAGTCACGTGCCCAGTAAACCGTAACGAAGAATAGAAGAGTTCCAACCCCGATTCGACGTAGTGAAATCCCGGTTGAGACAAGAGAAGAATATAGGAAATTAGAAGAAGAGTAGGTTGAAGGAAAGACTCAAGAGAAGAGACTAGTACTTACCTACGGACGAAAATCCACTCGCCAAATCTAACACGCCTGTTTCGACTTAGCCGCCGTAGGTTACACGAGAGTTGGAATAGTTTAGCGACAGACTCGCCGATTTCCGAGACGACAATATATATGGAAATTTTTGTGCATCACTAAATGATTTTAACAAGTTAATATCCAATAATTCTACAAATAACTAAATAATACAATTATACAATAGCTAAATAAATTACTAACAAAATATTATTAAAGTACAACAACGGGCCAATAACCCACGCTACTAAAATCATACCAAAGTAACCATTTACTTGAGCCCACCTAAATTATAGGGAAATAAATAAATAAATAAAAATATACCAAAATAATGATACTGCATGTCCACAAGAATTATAAAAAATTTGGTTACCATGGAGTAACTAAAGGTCCAACTTGGCCAATAGCATTCCAATCAAAGGAGAAATTAAGAATTCCAGCACCCCTATAACCACTTCCTAATGTACTTACTACATTATTATTTGGAGCGATAAGGCATAATACGGAAGCGCTGATTAACCAAGGAAACATGTATTCTGGTACGAATTGCCAAATGAACATTAAAAGAAATGCGATATAAAAAAAACGAAATTTATCATTTGTTTCTGAAGTATTTCCATGTAGCGTATTGTACATGCTAGCTAAAACGAGGTTTTGAGGCCATATCATGTTAGCTGGACGGACCGAAACTAAATGTAATTGACATTAAAATGTTAATTGAAATTTAAGTGTAAACATTAATTTACTTGAGTAAATATTATATTTTATATAATTATTTACAGATAATAATCCATACATTTTCGAACAAAGCCGGCAAGTCCATATCCAATCATTTGTGAGCTAATCAATAACAGAAAACCGGTTAAGAAATTGATTCGAGTGTTATAGTATAATTCTTGATTGAGATAACATCCTATATGTATGGAAATATAAATAATTATAAATATATCGAGACCTATAAAAATAAGTGATATTAAAGAAATGGAACTGAATAATACCAAAGCAAACGCAATATTACCACCTGTGGTGACCGCAGATATTATGCACACATGTTCCTTAAAATTGAAAGGACCTGTAAAATCGCACACAACAATTACATTAAATATATATAAAAACGATTCAAATAATAAATACTTATAAAATTGATAAACCTGGATTTAGATTAAATTCCCAATTTTTAATATAAAATTTCTTATTCGGCAAGATTTTTTCTAACCATCTACCCACAATATAAGACACAAGTATCACAAAGAATAAAGAATAACCTGTACCATTTACGCGAAAGAGGTAGAATACCGATATAGAGGCACCTAACATTGTAAAGAACTACCGATAGTAATTCATAAGGTAAAAAGAAACTAAGCATATAGCTCGTTGTGTGATGTAGTTGTGTGATATAGTGTGTATTCCAGTTAATGTCTAGTTACTTCTAATTAACTTATAGGTACACAAATTAATATACAAATCATGTGTATTGTAGTCTAGTTATAGGATTGAGTGTCCAGACTCATGCGATTTCAGGGATTTTTCATTGTTTAAACAATGAAAAACCCCTGAAATCGCATTAGTCTGGACATTCTAGTTATAGGGATGTTAAGTAGTTCGGATGAATTACCGTATTTCGCGGTCTAAAGTACCCCCCCAGTATGAATTTTTATCGGCTCATGCGGATATTTCCACGGTGCATATCGGGGTTTATTATATGTAACCATTACAAATTTAGACTATTTTACCAATACACATCGATTTATCTTCTTTTTTTTTTAACAAAAGAAAAAAAAAAGTCTACACTATTGAAAGCGTTATTTAAAAAAAAATTTCTTTTATAACCTATCAAATTTCGCAACAACTAAATGAACTTCTAATTAAATTTGGATCAAGTGAATCCCACGCAATTCCTACCCATTCAGCAAGAAGTGAATATGGTGGTCATTCAATATGTCCTGCTGGAGTTAATTCATGGATAGTCTCTGACATCCAACGGTTATAAAGTATATGAACTTCTTTTTTAAAACTTTTATTAATACTAACATCTAATGGTTGTAATTTAGATGTTAACCTGCCAGAAATTACAGCTAGATCTGTATTGTGAAAAGAAAATTGAAGCTTGACTGGATCAATTTTATGTGCATGAAATGAATCAAGAATTAAAAGAGAATTCGAATTATCTGATGCTCTTCTAGCCTAAACGTTTTCAATCCACTACAGCATTTCTATTTCATTAGCCTAGCCTTTTTCATTTGCACAAATAAATACATTAGCATGAAAGTTTTCTTGTGAAATAGTTTTTCTTTTGAATATACAGACAGGAGGTAATTTTGTCCCATCAGCTAAGCATGCAAGGACAACGGTAAAATTTTTTTTTCATGACCTGTAGTATGAATGCTAACAGTATTTGTTCCACATTTTTCAATTGTTGTTGGATTTGGTGAATCAAAGATAAGAGGAGTTTCATCCATATTTCCAATTAGATATAAAGGATAATTATGTCGTATATGCAAATTTAAAATATAACTAAGAAAGTTTTGTTTCTGTATTTCAAAATCTTCAGGCAATTTTTGTGCAATTGTTGTTCGATGACGATTTGACAAATTGTAATGATCCAAAAAACTGGTGAGCCAGTTATTTGAAAATTTAAATAACTGGATATTTGACAAATTTTGAAAATTAGGATGTCGGGTAAATGAAGCTGCCTTTGCAAATATTATTTCTTGTGTAATAACATGTTGTAAATTATGTTGTTCTGTAATCCAATCAAATAATTTTTCTTCAATCTCTAAATAATAAGTTGATTTTCTATTATGTAGTTTAAAAATGTTTGGTGCCGTTTTAATTAACTCATCTTTTTTGTTTATTCACTCACATAATTGTTTAGGTTGAATATTAAATTTTCTACATGTTTCTTTGATAGTTGATTGATTTTCTTCATGATCTGTGATAATATTTAATTTTTCTTGCGCATTCCATTTTTGTTTTAGTTTTTTGGTTATATGAGCTTTTGCAACACTTTTATTACTTAAAATGACCATTTTACAAGAATGATATTTTTTTTTAAAAAACTGATTCTTTATATAATGATTTTTATGATTAATAAAATTTTATTTTGTCTTTATTAAATTTATTATAATTGCTATATAATATTGTATGCAAAACAAAAATGGACAAGATAAAGAGTATAGAAAACAAATATCACAATGACCAATAATAATTAAAAAATTTTTTTCCTAGCGACTCAATAATAATGGTTTAAAGGGCCAGTATCACACAAGATAATTGTTGACGTAACATTAATATAATTGTTCTTATGACACAATTATCAAAAAAAATTTGAGAATAGTATATTATGCAGCTGATATGCACCGTGGAAATATCTGCATGAGCCGATAAAAATTCATACTGGGGAGGTACTTTAGACTGCGAAATACAGTAGGTTTAAACCTGTTTAAACTAGTATTTTTAGTAATTCGTTCAAATAAAAATTAACTAAAAGTTCTTGAACTAGTTTCATAATATAGTTCATAACTTGGTTTGTAAACCTAGTTTATAAATCTAATTCGTAAAACTGATTTAGAAACCAAGTCCATAAAATAATTATCAAGGAAAACATGACCGACTGATTTAGCCGTGTGATCTTCACCATACGACCATTTGTCACACCCCCTGGCTTTGAAGATCTGTGTTTATAATGCCCTAGAAATAGATATAATTTTCTTAGAAATATCATGTAATTCAGTTTAAGTGAATAAAGTGGATTTCATATCATAAATACTTGAATTCAGGATTCTTCTATGTGTGATTGTAGAGATTGTTAAAGTACAAACCTATCTGTAAAATTACTAAAGTCCCAACCCATTTGTCTAGTAGTCCCAATGTAGTGTAGAATACTGCAATTATTGTAATAATAAAATTGGTAACCCAATCCGAATCGAACCCACTTGCTAATTCTAAACACCTTTTTAGACCTGAAGCTGTCCGACCATTACACGAAGTCATACTTCGATTAGTGACAGACTCGCCGATTTAGAGCATTTCAATATATTGAGGTGAGTCAATAAAAAAGAGACAAATTTTTTCTAAATAAAAGTTTTGACTTTAAGATTAAATATCTCAACAATTATTTTATTAAATTTGATGCTTTTTTTTATTTTAATTCTATATAATTTCAAGATTAAAATAAAAAAATTTTTAGCAAATTTGATTAAATAGTTGTTGGGTTATTTTAATTTAAAAATTAAAAAAAAAAGTTCTAAAAGATTTATCCTTTTTTTATTGACTCCGTATATATATATATTTACAACCCTCTCTCGGAGGACCTTATAACGCTAGTATACTGTACTGCCCTTTGCATATAGAATCTTCTATAAGTTTACAAACTCAAGTTCAAAGTCAGGTTCAAACTCTAAAGCTAAACTGAAGCCTATGTACTTTAGTTTAGTTCGTTTATCTTTGAACTTCTTGAAGCTGGACTGAGCGAACCACTTAGCATCCCTATCTAGTTACGCATCATACAATAATTATATATTATATATAATGTGTGCACTAGGTAAATACACAACATTGTGTGTCCGGAGGAGTGAAAAATAAAATCCAAACTTTTTTTTGTTCTCTGAGAACATAAATTTAGATTTTTATGTTCTTAAAGAATTTCTAATTTCAAAGTTTTCAGAAAATTATTCTTATGATACAAATTATAAATTTTATGTTCTAAAATGAAAGCATAATCTTTTAAATACTATGTTGTCGTGACTGAAGTTGCACTTGACTGGCATGAGTAGGCAATTTTAGGCGAGTGTAACTTCAGTCGGATATAAACTTTAGTCACAACATTTTCCACTTCTTTGTCATTTAATTCCAGACAAATAAAACTTACAGTACTTAGCACCCAAAATCGAAAAGTCAAACATGGCATGGTTGGATTATCGTATGTACTAACAGCCTATCATTTTTAAATAAATTTTAAAGAAGACGCAAAAAAAAAGATGTTGGAGCAACGAGTAAAAGGTTCTGTAATTTACTGCTGAGATCAATTCAATGTTAAAGTCATCATATTCCTATTTTTTTTCGGTATTTTTTTCCTCATCATAAACTTTTCCATCAATATCGTTATAAATTAAGCCATTATCCTTCTCATCTGTATTAGTTTCTGGTGTCATCTCAGATTATGAATAACAATATAATTATTTGAAAAAGGATATTTAATGGATATTGAATAACTTTGAACATAAATGAAACTAAGCGTGTAATAATGAGAGATTACATTTTTATACTTTTTTAATACAAGATAAATTTGGTAATTAATACCAGCAAACGTAAATTCATATAAATTTTTTACAAGAAAAGACATCAATATATTTAATAGCCTATGGTCATCCTAATACAGTTATTATAACCTAATATAGCTATCAATTCATTATGATTTTCTACAATAATGATAATGAATTACATAATTATCATTTGCTTTACATGATTTCTATACTTAAAATAAATATATTATAACATCCATAATTTATTTAGTGTAACATACTTCATTCAACAATAACAATAATACGTTTAGCATGAAAATCTTATGACGCATAAAATGAAGAAATTTATTAATAATGTATGATTGATACATATGGGCCGATTTTTTGTCCTACTTTTCAAAACGATCTAATTCTGGTCAGATCTGCAGATCATTTGGCCCTGGTTTATCAGTTTTAAAACTGATAAACCAGGGCCAAATGATCTGCAGATCTGACCAGAATTAGATCGTTTTGAAAAGTAGGACAAAAAAATCGATATGATTTAGCATCCAATTACAATTTATTTGGTAGAAGATAATTCTATTTTCTGTAGGATCACAGGATGATCGTTTCACATAACGAATAAAAGAAGAATTTAGCTATCGCTGTGAATTTAATTGCTAATTTGTAGATAGCCTGAAACATAATAATAAGGTGTAACGTGATAACAGATATGATATGAACTACCCAACAAAATTTTGCAGTCACATGATAATCGACAAAAAATTATCCAATTGTTAATCATGATTTTATGTAATGTAACATGATCAGGAATGTCAAAATCGCTTATTTATCAAAATTTTGCATAATAAAACACCGCCTGCGTACTAATTAAAAGTTTTCCCTAAGCGATTTTGCTATTATAATTTCCAATATCCTGCTCAAACATAGACCATACACCTAACCTAAATGAACTTAAAGAATTTTTGTCGACTTCGCATGACTTCAAAATTTTGTTGGCGATCCTGGGTAAGATTATGATATTAGGTAGCTGCGCGACGCAGGCGCGCTAAAATCAGGAACGGGATGCTTTATTTGAGTTAATAAATACAGTAAACCGTCATAAGTGCACGCTCTTGGACTGAACTTTAGTAATGTGCGCTTAGAGAACAATAAGAAAAGATGCATTTATAGAGGTTATGTATAGATTTTGGGTCCAAATTTAAGCATACATTTAGAGAGGGTGTGCACTTATAGAGGTTTCATTGTACATTTAACTAGAATATATACAGTAAAACCTTCATAAGTGCATGCTCTTGGAACTGAACTTTAATGATGTGTGTTTAGAGAATAATAAAAAAAAGTACATTTATAAAATTCATGTATAGATTTTTGCCTAAATTTAAGCATGCATTTAGAGAGGGTGTGCACTTATAGAGGTTTTACTGTATTAATAAAATAATAAAAAAGAAAATTTCAGTTAATTCTTTAAAAATTTAGTTATGATTATTATAACCAATTTCATGAATTATTTTGTTAATAGTTATTTTGTTAAAATTTGAGTTGACAGGATTGTTTTAATAAATTGTTAATATTGACTAAAGGTAAATTGTTAATAAATCTTACAAAAAGCATTAACTAAATATATAAATAACTTAGTTAATAAGTATTAATGAATTATGGTTAACATGTTTTTATAAATAACAGACAATTTATACTAATTTTTATAACACTATAAAGATTTATTTGTTTGTTTTTTATATTTTGTAATTTCAATGATAGATGCACTTATTATTTCAAAAATGGATATGTAAGTTAATAATTTACAATAATGAGTAATTAATAATTTTAACAGTGAAATAATATTTTTTTTTTTTTTAAATATTAAGGTAAGTACTTGCAACCCAGAATTTTATTGATAGTACATTCAGCTAATGGTTGCATTACAACCACAGGGGGCAACATGGAAAGAGTGTACAACTAGCCACTTGTACAACTTTAGTCATTGTCTAATTTAAGTAGTTCTCCTGAAGGTTCTACACTAGCTACCATACCTGGAACCTGCTTGTAGGTTCCCTATTTAACCACTCTGTTCCCGTATTCACCCATCTACCTACACCTACCAAGATGCCCTGGTCGATACCAGTTCAAATATGCTATGATCACTAAGTCTTTAAAGCGGTTCACTCACATGGGGAACCTTTGACCTTTTACTAAACCTTCCAGAATCTTCTTTATCTCATTCTTACAGTTGACCTGGTATCGCTATAACCAAGACCAACACTGGTAGTCAGTATGTACCATTAAACCGCTATGCTCTTGTAGAGTTCACCCCAACCCCAGTATTGTCTTCACAACATATTCTTACTACTTTGGTATCCAATTTAAGTTCCACCAAGTTCCCAAACCAGATAGCCTAGACAGGCAGGTCGTAACCATACACCTTTGGTTTACATGTTTGCCAGCATGTAACCTTTTCCTCTGGAACCTAGAAATTCTGAAGGCCTGGTTGGTTCCATTTAGCCCCTTCTCAAAGGCTAGCTCTTTGCCTGGTTTCACAAGTTCTAACTCTATTTTATAGGTCTAGTCTTTACAGTAGCACCATCGAAAGTTCAGGTTACCTTTTTATTTGGGTCTTCCAAGTAGGCTTCCATCCTTCTACCTGGTTCCTATGATTTACACGGCCTAGGAACTTATCTTGGGTTTACACTGCCCGGTACCAGTTTGTGTTTCTTTATACAATATTGCATGAATGCCTAGACCTTCCAGTCAGGTTGGTATGACACAGGTTACAGGTATCCTATCCCAACCAATCACAGAAGACAGTTAGCCATAAAACAGAAAGAATTGCAAAGTTTCATCATTACTGGGATTTAAACTCTAGACCTGCCACTTGGAGGTTGACAACCTATCCATTTTACTAGGTTGCCACACCTTGTGAAATAATAATTTTAATAATAAATATTAATAATTTTAAATAGTTTATTGTTTTAATAGTAAATTAATTACAATAAAATCTTTATATGTGTATTTTTTATAGATGCACACTCTTTCTAAATGCATAATTAAATTTAGAACCAAATTTATATATAATTTTTATAAATACATCTTTTTTTATTACTTTTTAAGTGCATATTATTAAAGGTTAATTTGATAAGCATATATTTATAGAAGCTTTACTGTAGTGTTTTTAATATTAATGTAATAATTTTTAAAACAAATAAATTAGTAGTTTAATTAAATAGTTTATAAGTATTTAAGATTCAAATAATAATAAAGATTTTATTAACAAGTAGATTATTAATTTTGTAATATAAGTTTGTGACTTAACAGTAACTTTAACTATAAATATTTATTTTAGTAATGCAGATTTATAATTTTGACAGAGATGAATAGTAATTTTAATACAGTAAAACTCTATAAGTGCACCTTCTATAAGTATATATTCTCTCTAAATGCATGCTTAATTTAAGTCAAAATCTATATCTAATTTTTATAAATATTTTTTTTTTATTTTTTTTAAGTATACATTATTAAAGTTTAGTTCTAAAAGCATACACTTATAGAGATTTTATTGTAAAAGATAAAAATACAGTAAAACCTTTATAAGTGCATACACTTAAAACTAAACTTTAATAATATATGCTTAGAGAACAATAAGAAAAAAAATATTTTTAAAGATTATATATAAATTTAGATCTAAATTTAAGTATGCATTAAGAGAAAATATGTACTTATAGAAGATATATTTATAAAAATTTTACTATATACAAAATATAACAATTATAATTATACTAACTAATCTGAAATTAAATTTTGCATATTGTAATGATTAATAGCAGAACTACTTTAGAATTCCCTATTCATAAGATAGCCAATAGGTTATTTGATAATATTAAACATTATTATACTCAAAAGAAGTATTGGATTTGGTGAGTGTATAAGGTGAGTATTCTTTATTATTATATTCTATGTTTTATTCTATTCTCTACAATTTAAGCATATTACTTATATACTTTTTCTAATATGCTATTAATGCTATATATACTGTTTATATTATATATACTAAATATACTACTTTTACTATATATACTAATTATACTAGTTATACTATATTTACTCATTATACTATATATATAATATTTACTAATTATACTATATATCTTATATCTACTAATTGCACTATATATATATACTATATTTATTTATATTATTTTTTATTTTTATTTTTTTATTAATATTGTTGGGTTTGAAAGATTGTGACTCAGTCACTCTAAAATTCAAAACCTTATATAATATATGACAATTAATCTTTTTGAAAGAGGGTGTTAAATTTGGCTTGTAAATGGTTAAGGCTTTCAATCACTTTGGGTCAACAAATGCAAATAAGATAAGTCATGTGGTTAAGGGTTGAACAGAGATGTTATTAGGAGTTCACAGAGTTTGTAATGATAATAGTGTTAGTGTTTATTAAGTACAATGTAGGGTATTATGATTTATTGTTTAATAAAACAAATAAAACATACTGCTTCTAAGAGCCATTTTAGTCTTTATTTATAATATAAAATTTGTCACTTATAAATATGACATATTTATTAAAACTAATTAATCTATTTACAAATATTTATTTAATATCTATTATTTCTTCTCTTTATTCCTTATCTATACCTTCAGATCTGAAATACCATTTCTGATCTTAAATATAACTTATTATACTTATTACATTTATTGTACTTATTATATTTATTGCATTTTGTGCATTTTTTATATGATTGGTCACAATATTTGGTATCACAATTTCTGATATTACAATATAATGTTCAAGTAAAAACTTTGTATATATAGAAATATAAGTTCTAAAATTAAAGATTTCTAAACTATATTTGTATTACAAGTTTGCATCTAATATGACATTACCTCCTATTTTCTATAAAGGCTATAGCTATCTATTTCAAATTAGGTTCTAGCTAGAATAGGTTGGAGGAGATCTTCAAGTGATTGTCTAAACATTATTAAATACAAATAGTTAGTGAATAATCTTGTGTAAGTCATTTGATAATAAAAGCTTAGTATTTATAGTTAGAGAAGAGATTGTTATATTGTTTGAAGAATTTAGCATTGT